TGGACACTGGGGTCATAGTCTTTTCTATGCACTGAAAACTAAGGCATGGTGTCCTACATTTGTGAGGCCTAGGATCAGCCTGGGCTTCACTGAGGGGGACAGGGTTGTGTTCTGCTTGGGTTTTCATTAGAGTCTGTGCCCTGGAGGGGAGTTCAGTCCAGCCTAGCTCCCCCTGCTGCAGAGTGGGAGTGAGCTTCAATAAGAAGGGTATGGGTTCAGAAGAAATGGTCAGAAGCTCTTTGCTTTGTCTTCCTGTAGGAGTTATTATCCCCTGGCTCAGTGGCTATCTTTGCACAGACATATCCTATTATTTCAGCGGATATGTGTAAGTGTATAAATAGATGGATATATGTGTGAGTATGTACAAGTGACGTGTTTGAACATGGGCCTGGGTCAGCAAAGGCACATCATCATTTTACATAAATGTTATGTTTTTTAACCATTACAATTTTATCTTTAATAATTTCATGGCCTTTAGCTGAGCATTGTGGTGGGCGCATGTAGTCCCAGCTACTCTGGAGGCTGAGGCAAGAGAATCACCTAAGCCCAAGAGTTGGAGGTTGCTGTGAGCTGTGATGCCAGGGCACTCTACTGAAGGTGACAGAGTAAGACTCTGTCTCAAGGAAAAAAAAATAATAATAATGTTATAATTTGATGGCCTTAATATTGTTCTTCACCAAGGGTGTCTATCCTTTTTTCTTTTCTTCCACACACTGAAAAAGGAAGTTATCCTTCCCACACAGTAAATCTACAGATACTTAGGAAAGCTGGTTCTCTAAGAAAAAGGTCTTTGCCTACTTTTTATGATACCGGACACCACAGATAAGCAAGAACAGACCTCACAAAATCACAGACACCCCTGACTTATTGTAATGTCCAACAGGTGGGAAGTGTCCCAAAGCTTCTTAATGACTGTTACTGTCATTATCACAGTTTCTAGATTCTGATCTTTGTAAGACCTGCTATGCCCATACTTGTCAGGAAAACAGCACACATTTTCCAAGTCAGGGAGACACAGAATAATATGTGATGTGTGAAACATATCTTATACCTCTATGAAGAAAAGATACAAGCCTGTGCTAATTTCTTATTTTTCTTGTACTGTCCACAAAAATGAGATCCACATTAATTTAGAGAATATTATAAATCCTTATGAAAAAGCATAATACATGTCAAACACATAACAAACTCAGAAGTATATTAATGTCGATCTTTCAGAATACTCCAGTTGAATCAGTTCTTCCAACAATTTTCTCGTTTTGTGTGAAGAGAGGATTTCTCCCCATCTCTAGTTGGTAAAATATGTTTTCCATTTTAGGGATGCTTGACATTCAGGGATGTGGCCATAGAGTTCTCTCAGGAGGAATGGCAGTGCCTGGACCCTGCTCAGAGGGCTTTGTACAGGGCCGTGATGTTGGAGAACTACAGGAACCTGGTCTCCCTGGGTGAGGATAACGTGGCTCTCACAGTCGGGCTCTGCCCTGTGTGTCTGCATTTTCCCTTCTGTGCCTTGTGGGAGCCTCGAGTAGTGTCACTAAGGTTAAGGTATTTTTGTATTTTTTTTTTTTTTTCTGAGACTCACTTTGTCGCCCCCAGTAGAGTGTTGTGGCAATACAGCTCACAACAACCTCAAACTCCTTCGGCTCAAGTGATTCTCTTGCCTCAGCCTCCCAAGTAGCTGGAACTACGGGCACCCACCACAATGCCCAGCTATTGGTAGAGATGGGGTCTCGCTCTTGTTCGGGCTGGTCTTGAACTCCTGAGCTCGGGCTATCCACCTGCCTCAGCATCTCAGAGTGCTAGGTTTATAGGCCTGAGCCACAGCACTTAATGAGATTAAGGTCTTAATTGACTTAAAAGTGAGAGCTCCATATGCTTTCTGGACTTTCACGGCCTCCTTTCTTCACCTGTTTTGCCCCCTTCATGTCACATTTTGTGGGACTACAGCTTACATATACAAAGAACCCGTATGGCACACTTTTAAAACTCTAGTTTCCTGTTTTCTCCCCTGATCTTTTTGATTCAATAGTTATTGACAGAGAGCTAGATGTTTGCATAGCACAGTTTCATACACAGTCAGAAGGCGGCCATCTGTGGATGAATTTGTGAAATTTTTTTCTTTATCCTTTTGTGATGTCTTCTGTCTTTCCTAACCATAGGGCTTGGATTTGGGGAAAGCCACAGCACTTCTTAATTCCTTGTTTTTATAAGCAGGACTCTTGCTTCCTAACCTGACGATTTTCTCCACTTTGGAGAAAGGAACAGAGCCCTGGACTGTGGTGACTGAAGTGAAAACACCAAGAATTTCAGATAAGGAGAAATGGATCAAAGGTGTGCACTCAGGTAAGAGCTCAGGTGGGCACAGTGGAAGCCACACTATTACACAGTGTGTGGGAAAGTCTGCCAGAGGGAGTTCTGTGGCTGAACAAAAGGTTAAATCTTTTGAGCTCTAAGCACAGATCTTTGTCTCTACTTACCACTCTGTTCTTTAGACATGCAATAGTTTATTTTTTCACCCTCTAATTGTGTAGCAGCTCAGATCAAGGGAAATTTTTTATTTTATTAGGAAAGACCACTGTGTAGTCTTTTACTAGACAAGACTTCTGACTGAGTGTGATACATTTCAAGGGGCCATTTCAAGGGATCTCTTTCCCCTGTGCTGTGTCCTTCTGTATTTCATTCCATCTGGTGCTCAGTTCTCTGTCCACAGAGGTCAGAGCTGAGGCCACTGTAGACCTGACACCTTGACCTTTTCAGGTGTCACCCCATTTCCTGTACTTTGGAAGACCTGATCAGGATGTGGGAAAACATTGGCTGCTCTTTCTTTGCACATGGGCCTGGGAAATAGCACAACGCTGTCTACAGCCCTCTCTGCCTGTTCAGATCTGTTTGAGATAAGAGAAACCAAAGTGCTTTTTCTCTTCTTCCCTGCCACTCAACACAGAATGTCTCTCTTCTGGTCAGCAAAATGTATCGTGTCCCTCCCCACTAACAGCCAATTTTTGGTGGCCATCATAGGGTTTCCTGTACTTAATTTCTGACCCTGTCTACCTGGAATTAGAGTCAGGTCCCACAGGGTGAGGGCTGAGTCCCCAAGACTGTTCCCCACCTCATACTCCTTTCATTTGTTACCTTTCCGTGTGACCAATCAGCTGTAAGTTGGAGGTGGCTTGAGGCCTGGTCAGGTGTGATTATTTGCTAGCTGTCTCAGAGCCCTCAGTGACACACTTTCTGTCTCTGTGTTTATTATGAGGGACAGTTGAGAGGACTTTCTGTCTCTGCACTTTATTATAAGGGACATTTGAGAGGATACATAGGAACAGCCACATGAAGAGGCTCACAGGGCAAGGCTCATTGAAGCTTCACTGGGTGCCCCACCATCCACACACATCCATGTCTTCAGCATTTGGAATTTTTCCTCACCCCACAGTGCAGGCCTTTTTATGAAGGTGTCATCACATGGGCATGATTGATGTTAACTCAGCCTCCAGCCCAGTCCCTGTCCTGGAGGATGTTGGTTTTGGCTGAAAGGTTCAGGCTTCTAATCAAAGCTTCATCTTTCTGGTGACCAGCCCTGATGCAGGACATCAGAAAGGTGGCCTCATTGGCACATACCACATTCCTGTCATGCAGGAAATTTCATGGTGTTAGGACTCTGTGTGAAGAACCTGGGAGGGGACCAGTGTATGTGTTTCTTCTTATTTCACAAGGTCCCTCAGCCATTGTTTAGTTCTGCTTTATCTACACATTGCTGCTGTGTGTAACATGGGATGAGATTGGCTCTTCTGAGATTATTACTCAGCAGAAGGAAAAGTCAGGGGACAGAAGGGTCCTGTGTTGGGAACGAAGCTCACTAGAATGATGGGTGTGGTTTCTAGTCCACTGTCATTTGTTCTAGCTACTGCTACTCTCATCTGTACACTTTCACATAATTATACATTAACCTGGTTTTTATGTGCTGAATCATCTGTTTTACTCTTGTATATGCTTTTTTTTTTTTTAAGTCAGAGTTTCATTTTATCGCCCTTGGTAGAGTGCTGTGGCATCATAGCTCACAGCAACCTCAAACTCTTGGGCTCAAGTGATTCTCTTGCTTCCACCTCCCGACTATAGGTGCCCACCACCACACCCAGCTATTTTTAGAGGCAGGGTCTTGCTCTGGCTCAGGCTGGTCTTGAACCTGAAAGCTCAGGCAGTCCATTGGCTTCAGCCTCTCAAGTGCTAGGATTACAGGCATGAGCCACTGCGCCTGACCAGTGTGTGCTTTTCTTTGTCTTTCTTTTCTATTTGGACTGTCCTACCTGGATTACCTGGCCATGGACTATTGTATATGGAGCTGCTGTATGAACAAGTATCTACTGATTTATATATTATAGAAGATTTCATCGTTTACTACAGAAGTTGTAGTCAGCAAGAGTTTCTTTAAAACCTCTAGGGGCTGTGTAAAAGCTTTTATGTGGTAATTTAATTTGTTCTTTTTTGAGTCAACGTCTCACTCTGTCACCCTGGCTAGAGTGCAATGGTATCAGCCTACCTTACAACAACCTCAAACTCATGGGCACAAGCAGTCTTCTTGCCTCAGCCTCCCAAGTAGCTGGGACTACACTCATCTTCCACAACACTAGCTAAGTTTATATTTTTAGTAGGGATGGGTTCTTACTCCTACTCAGGTTGGTCTCAAACTCCTTAGCTTAAGTGGTCCACTTGCCTTGGCCTTCCAGAGTGCTGGGATTATAGTCCCAAGCCACCTGATACATTCTAGGAATCAATCTCACTTGGTTATGACATGTGATTATTTTCAGTGTGTTGCTGAAAATTTGTCTTGGAGTAATTTATTCAGGATTTTTGTATTTGATTGATCAGTATCACTGCTCTATAGTTTTCTTATAGGGACTTTATCTGTGTTTGCTATCCAGGTTACACATGTCTCATTGGTTGCCTTTGGAAGTATTCAGTCCCTTGTTAATTTTAGGAAGATCTTAAGAAGTATTTATGTTAATTTATTTTATTTAT